CTTCTTAAAAACAAAAAGCGAAACCAATGCATAGCCAGGGAAGTTTTTAATGTGTGACATTTTAATGTATTTTTAATCTTTGTTGGAAGCCGCCCAGAGTGGCTGGGGAAACCCAGCCAGATGGGCGGGGTACAAATTATTATTATTATTATTATTATTATTATTATTATTATTATCCAAATGGAGATGGAGGGCAGCTAGTAACTGGATGGTCTATTCCTGCAAAAGTTTTGAAGCTGTAGTAGCAAATTTTGTTCTGTTCTGACAGGGCGATTGACGCTCAATCGCTTGGGGCAGATTTTGTTCCCCCCCACCACCACCTGTGGCTTGACCTGTTCGTCTGGAAACACCAGGGATGGGACATGGGATTGTGCAAAGTCTGTTAGGACCAATGCTTAAGCCAATACCGCTCATTGCCTGTAACCAATAAAGTTGCGGCCTTATTTAGCCCATTAACCTTAATAATTGTGTCATGTATCATTATTTCCACGGGGGGGGGGGGGACAGACCTGCCACGCAACATGGAAAGCTGCCTTATCAGGCCACCTAAATTATCAGGCCACCTAAATTATATAATTTGGTATCTGAATGATCAGTATTAGTAATTGTATTATAATTTGGCATCATTATAATGAGGCGATTATTGTAATTGAAAATTAATATAATTAATTTTTTAAAAAAAACACATTGCAGGGGGTTGGACTAGATGACCCTTGGGTACCTTCCAACTCTTTGATTCTATGATCCATGGCAGATGGCCATCCAACCTCTGCTTAAAAACCTCCAGTGAAGGAGAGTCCACAACTTCCTGAGGGAGTCCATTGTCCTTTCCACTGTCAAACAGCTCTTACCACCAGAAAGTTCTTCCTGATGTTCATTCGGAATCTCCTTTCTGGTCCTACCCTGTGGAGCAGGATAAAACAAGCTTGTTCCATCTTTCATGGGACAGCTCTTTAGAGATCTGGAGATGGCAATAGCCTTCTTATCCTGCAATAGCCTGTCCAGCAGTGAGTTAAAAGGAAAAAGATTTTTATTTTCTTTGGCTGAAAGATACACTGGAGCAGAGTAGAGCATAAAGGCTCAGATCCTATTGTCTGCCACACAGAAGGCTTTGCCCCTGGAAATGGCCTGCTGAACCTCAGGTCCCACATCAGACGATCTTGGGATCCAGGAGGAATCAGAAGGTTCTTTAAGGTGCTTTGCCTCAGAATACTCTTCCCTCACCGGGGCTGAAGCAAGAATCCACTGGCAGTTCAGTCGGCTTCTGCACACACTTGTAAACCACTTATAAACGCCATCTCCAACTCCTTGAAAGATTCCATCAATGGTGTCTCCGAAAAATTTTACACATCACTTGGGAAGACAGGCAAACTAATATCAGTGTACTGGAAGAAGCAAAGATCACCCGTGTTGAAGCAAGGATTCTTCAACATCAACTTCGTTGGACTGGTCATGTTGTGCGGATGCCTGATGATCGTCTTCCAAAGCAACTACTCTATTCCGAACTTAAAAATGGAAAGCATAATGCTGGTGGTCAACAAAAGAGAATTAAAGACTGTCTCAAGGCAAATCTTAAAAAATGTAGTATAAACACCAAAAACTGGGAAAAACTGGCCCGCGAGCGCTCCAGTTGGAGAACAGCCTTTACCAAAGGTGTCATGGGCTTTGAAGACGCTTGAACTCAGGACAAAAGGGAGAAACATGCTAAGAGGAAGGCACACTTGTCAAATCCACACTGTGATCAACTCCCGCCCAGAAACCAATGCCTCCACTGTGGAAGAACATGTGGATCCAGAATTGGCCTCCACAGTCACTTACTGACTCATTGTTAAAACCATGTTTATGGAAGACAATCTTACTTGGCTACGAGTGATCGCCAAAGAAGAAGAAGTACCCTGTCCATAATCTCAAGTGACAGAAGTCATCGGTCAGCCCTGTTTGAAAAGTTCCCGCAATCTCTCCCCTCCGTCCTTTCCCCCATCCCCCCTGATGTTCTGCTTTCCCCCTTACTGCCGCATTAGTACCCACTCTGAGAAATAAAATAGATGCATCAAATTATAATCAGCGCCCTCCCCCCAACAGCACCGGATAAAAGCACCGGACGGTGCCTATGAAAGATTCAAAGAGCAAAAAGGACAAGCAAGCATTTTACGGGGGTGGGTGGGGAGGGGGGTGCAAGCGCATTTGGCTCCCAGTTTACAAGCACTCCATAAATAGCTGATGAAGCAGAGGTTGACAAATCAAGCATTGTAACACTTTGATAATTTATGAGGTCATTTGGAAAGAGTCTGTGGCTGCCCCCAGGTGTTTGAGAACCTCTCTCTTTCCCAACTCTCCGTCCCCTTGGGGAAGGAATTTAACAAAGGAATGTCTTTCAAAAAGAGGCACTCTCTGCTGGCCACCACCATTTCCCCCTTGAAGTGTTTTCAAACACACAGCAAGCTAAAAACTAAAAACAAAAAACGCTTAGAAGTTGGGAATTAATTTTATTTATTTTTTGAAAAAGGAACAGCTAGCTAGCTAGCTAGCTAGCTAGAGACAGACAGATAAGTAGATACCCTAGATTATTCCCAAAGGGTCTGACAGTCCTGGGAAACTGAATGTGAGGGTCAGATTCACAATGCCTGAATCCCAAACAAGTTTTTGCAGTATGAGGCCCTGATTTTATATTCCTGCCCCACCCCATGGGGGCCTAAATGTAGAACAAAGACTTTGGACTCTTGGCACTCGGGAGTTATAGGCTCAGCCGGGGAACCATCCAGCTGATGGTATATATAAATAGCACACACACACACTATAAATTTTGGAAATGTATCTGTTCACTATGCATTCAGAGATCTCTGAAGATAAAACCAAATTTTGCATGAAGGTTCCTAAGACCAAGAATTAGGTTTTCATCTATGTTGGGATACAGCTGAGTGCTATTTTGAAACAAGATGGCAGCCAGAATCTTTCAGAGCTGCATTGATGTTGACCACTGAGTTCAAGACTGCACAGATTTAGGGGTTTCTTAAAAGACGCCTGCTTCTTGGGAGAAAAGCGATGACAAACCTAGACAGCATCTTAAAAAGCAGAGAATCACCTTGCCGACAAAGGTCCGTATAGTTAAAGCTATGGTTTTCCCAGTAGTGATATATGGAAGTGAGAGCTGGACCATAAAGAAGGCTAATCGCTGAAGAATTGATGCTTTTGAATTATGGTGCTGGAGGAGACTCTTGAGAGTCCCATGGACTGCAAGATCAAACCTATCCATTCTGAAGGAAATCAGCCCTGAGTGCTCACTGGAAGGACAGATCCTGAAGCTGAGGCTACAATACTTTGGCCACCTCATGAGAAGAGAAGACTCCCTGGGAAAGACCCTGGTGTTGGGAAAGATTGAGGGCACAAGGAGAAGGGGATGACAGAGGACGAGATGGTTGGACAGTGTTCTCGAAGCTACCAGCATGAGTTTGACCAAACTGCGGGAGGCAGTGGAAGACAGGAGTGTCTGGCGTGCTCTGGTCCATGGGGTCACGAAGAGTCAGACATGACTAAACGACGAAATAGCAACAACAGAATTTCCCATGTAATGCTGTATATAAGGCTGCTAGCATGTGTATTTTATATTATTTCCACTAAGGTCGCATCCACACAATGAGTTGCCATCAACTCTGTTCCATCCAGAATAAAGGTAAAGGTAAAGGTACCCCTGCCCGTACGGGCCAGTCTTGACAGACTCTAGGGTTGTGCGCCCATCTCACTCAAGAGGCCGGGGGCCAGCGCTGTCCGCAGACACTTCCGGGTCACGTGGCCAGCGTGACATCGCTGCTCTGGCGAGCCAGAGCCGCACACGGAAACGCCGTTTACCTTCCCGCTAGTAAGCGGTCCCTATTTATCTACTTGCACCCGGGAGTGCTTTCGAACTGCTAGGTTGGCAGGCGCTGGGACCGAACAACGGGAGCGCACCCCGCTGCGGGGATTCGAACCGCCGACCTTTCGATCGGCAAGCCCTAGGCGCTGAGGCTTTTACCCACAGCGCCACCCGCGTCCCTCCATCCAGAATAGACCCATGGAAATGAATGGTTGGGCATGCCCACTAATCTAAAGGACCAACTCTTGAGCAGAACTAGCATTTGATACAACCCAGTGCATTTAAAGCATATGGCTCCACCTTAGGAATCCTGGGAACTGTAGATTATGTGTGCTGGGAACTGGAGATCTGTGATGGGGTGAGCCCTGAGTGTTAAAGTGGTAAAAACCAAGGGCATGCACCTTTGCAACCATCCAAAATATCCCACAAGGCAGCAGAGGTTTAGGATCAAGCTCTCCTTCTCGTAGATGAGCTACTTCAGCAGGTTGGCGAGCTTCATCTGGAGCATGTGCAGAAACCGCCACCAGCCAGTGTGATGTTGTGGTTAAGAGTGTTAGACTCGTAATCTGGTGAACCGGGTTCACCTCTCCGCTCCTCCACATGCAGCTGCTGGGTGACCTTGGGCTAGTCACACTTCTCTGAAGTCTCTCAGCCTCACTCACCTCACAGAGTGTTTGTTGTGGGGGAGGACGGGAAAGGAGATTGTTAGCCACTTTGAGACTCCTTTGGACAGGGATAAAGCGGGATATCAAATCCAAACTCTTCATCTTGACCATTGGACCCACTGTTAGGTCAATTAACCAGAGCCCTTCTTCGCATGCAGGGGAAATCCCTAACTCAGTGAAAGTTTGAGACCCAGTGGCCAATTTCAGTCCAGCAGTATGTTGGCAACCTTGCACATCTGACCTGTGCCACGTTGCAGTCTGCTAACTCAGAGAGACAGAGAGGGAGATCTCAAGAATTAGTTCCCTAAAAATTTGATCCACCTTAGATGGGTCTTCAAAGGGTACCTTAAGGCTGATGGAGCTCATTCTAGACTCTACCATCACATCACTAGGCTGCTCGTCATCATGCACATCACCAGCAGAGGTTTCCCCCCCCCCCAAAGCAAACGTGTCAAAAGCAGTTTTTGCAACTCAAGAAAACATACTTGGGCAATTACTCCTTCCTCTACCATGTTGCCAGATTTGCTGTACGCCAGGGCTTTAAAGCAGAGATCTAAGGTTCATATCAACGCTTTAATCCTCTCAGCAGCTTTGGGTATTTCCTGATGTTTACGAGGAGTGCTCTGGGCCTGAGGCTGGGCGCTCATTGCCATCATCAACAACAGCAACAACAACAGAAAATGAACTTAGCTGAGGTGAAGGAATTGGGTGTGCTTGTTTTTTAAGCCTTAACCACAGCTGCGCAGTGAAATTTGCTTAGGCCCAGCTTGAATGGGCCAGAGATGGGAAGAAATGGCTGGTAATATTTCGGAGTTTCCTCATTTTCCCTCTGGAATTAGATTGCCTGGTCCCTAAGACTGTGTGGAGATGCTCCCTAGCTTGTCCCATTCTCTCGGGGTGTCAATTTGAATAAGATATTGGTGGGGGGGCAGGTAAGCCCCACCACCTCACATAATTAAAAACAAGGCATGATAAAAAACCGACCGGTATCGTTTTTGTTAAATATGCAGGGATATGAGATATGTAAAATGAACAATGGAAAGAGAAGAAGGGAAGTCATTGATATCTTAAGTATGTAAAATGTTTATCCAAAATTGTAAAACAGAAAATTTAATAAGAATCAGATTTAAAAAAGAAGACACCATTTGAATGGCAATGCCCATCAACTTTGCCCCCCCCCCCCGTTAGACGAAATGAGCCTCAGGGTCCCTTCCAAGTCTACAATGATACGATTCTATGATTTTATTATTCAGGTCCAGCTTATCAGAAGGACCGCCTGCTCCTGTATAGACCTGAAAGATTACTTAGATCATCTGGCGAAATTCTACTCATGGCACAAAACCCTACAGGATGCCATTAGGCACTGACCCAAATATTGGGGTTTTCTGCTGCTGCGGAAACAGCAACCTCTGTTTGTTTGTTTAGATGTAATTTTTGTGCACATTCCCTCATCTGGGTTCTGAGATCTTCTATGGAGTCCCTTCTGCTGGTCACCCTCACAGGCACGCTTGGTAGGGATGCAGGAGAGGGCCTTTTCGGTGGCTGCTCCCAGACTTTGGGACTCCCTCCCTGGAGAAGCTAGAGTTAAGACTGTCTCCCTCCTTGTGGTCCTTCTGCAGATGAAGACCTTGTTCCAACAGGCTTTGGCGAACTGACAGCTTTTAATGAAAGATCTGGTGCTGTGCTGTTTTTATTGTAATTAATCTGCAGGTTCTTAGTAGATCTTATATATGTTTTAATTCTATTAAAGTTCAATTTTTTTTAATGATTGGTCCCCCCCCATGTTTTCAGCTGTTCTTATTTTAATCTGTAAGCCTCCTTGAGTCCCTGTCAGGGAAAGAGGTGGTGTATAAACAAATATATAATAAAGATAAATGATAATTGTCCAGGCTTTCCCTGACCCATAAAACTGAACCTTGTTTTATATGCATGAATACCACCCCAAGTCTTTGTTTTAATTGCTTTTGCACATTTTTATACTGTTGTTTTCCAGGTTTTAGATGGTATTTTTTATATTGTACACCTCCTATAAATTTATTTCATTTTGGAAATATGAAGTGGCTGGAAATGCTGTTAAATGAAACAAACAAATAAATCAACGTCTAGAGGGCCAGAGCTTCCACATCCCTGGTTTAGGGGCCTTCACGACATAGGAAAACGGCCAAGTAAACAGCTATTTTCGTGGAGGAGGGTCAAGATATTAACTGATATGTATGAAATTTCATCTATAGTTATATAATCCCTAGTGTAGTAAGATAAGACCTTTAGAGCAGGCATTTTTTTTTAAAAAAAGTTTTTTATGAACTGCCCTAAAGGTAAAGGTACCCCTGCCCATACGGGCCAGTCGTGACCGACTCTGGGGTTGCGCGCCCATCTCGCTTAAGAGGCCGGGGGCCAGCGCTGTCCAAAGACACTTCCGGGTCACGTGGCCAGCGTGACGAAGCTGCTCTGGCGAGCCAGCACCAGCGCAGCGCACGGAAACGCCGTTTACCTTCCTGCTATAAAGCGGTACCTATTTATCTACTTGGACCCGGGGGTGCTTTCGAACTGCTAGGTGGGCAGGAGCTGGGACCGAAAGACGGGAGCTCACCCCACCACGGGGATTCGAACCGCCGACCATGCAATCGGCAAGTCCTAGGCACTGAGGTTTTACCCACAGCGCCACCCGCGTCCATGAACTGCCCTAGTAGGGCAGTAATTGTTTCTTGATAATTTGTCACCCCCCTCCATCCTACGCCCCTGCTTAGGGGTTCCTTGAGAGACAGGTTGATGTGCATAGGACTCCGCAAGAAGCCAGAAAGCCTGAAAAAACACAGTTGCACTGGGTCTCACTGTGGTATTAAACAACATAAGCTAACAGCTGTCTGATGGTGCAATTCCTGGCTCCCGAGTCCCGAGGCATCATTTTCCTGTTTATACTTGCACATCAAATGGACTTTTTGAAAGTTTCCCCGATTTCTTTTTTGTTCTGTTTTCTTTGTTCTGCTTCCATATGGTCTTCCCTCCTCTCTATCCCCTCTGCTTTGGAGATGACATGTATGGGAAATGGCTTATTGTAAGCAACAGGAGGCAGCGCAGACCAGTCCCCCCCCCTCCCACTTTCCCCATGCACACATACACACAGCCAGCTGCATCATGGGGGCAAAACAAACATCAAAGCCAAAGCACCAGCCAATTCTTTTTCATACAGGATACAGGTGATGTGTTTATTGATATAGTTGGAGTCTTGCCACATACCCAGAGCTGTGTGTATAATTATTCCATAGTTCACTGCACGAACTTCAGGCAAGTGCCTTTTGGTGTGTAATTCAGCATTCAAATCATCTCAGCTTTCAATTTCTTGTTGGTTTTTAAACCCAAGTTTCTAGTCCGTAAGATTGAGCACAGGCAAGCATGAATATGCCACTTCTGAAGTTATGCTGGGGAGAAAGCTGAGCATAGTTTCAGTGTGCAGCGCAACATTTTTCTCTCTCCTTCCTAATAACTGAAAGAAGCAAGCAGAAATGGGATGGATTTAGATGATTTGGATACCATCCTCATCTGATAATCTGTTAAAAGTACAGTCCTTGGTTTGAACAATATCACATGAACAAGCAGCAAAAGCCACCAGCTTTCTCAGTTCTTCCAATTAAGCCGCATCATGCAGCAATTGCAAGCAAAACGCCTTAAAAAAAACCCATTTGAAAACATTCTGGAACAGAATGACAAAAGGAAATTAATAACAAAATAAACCAATGTACACAAAAGATATCCCACCAAACACAAACTGGATGAAATCTCTGGCAAACTATCATAGTAGTAAAATCGACATGTAAGAAGACTGTGATACAAAAGCCATCAAGAAAATAAATTTATAGAGAAATGGGCAAATCACAGGGCTGTTTACAACACAACCAGATAAGATGAAAATAATCCATAAAAGAACACAATCCTTAAGAGGGAGGAAAAAACACACATCATCATTTAGGGAAATAAGAAAACAATGTACATTGGAGAACGGAGAAATTTGCATGTCATGAATAAAGCTCTGCACAGGCACAGCTTATACATGGGAGAATGCTTCTCCTCTTAAGCATTTGGTAAAGTGCACATGTATGGAAGTGAGAGCTGGACCATAAAGAAGGCTGATTGCCGAAGAATTGACGCTTTTGAATTATGGTGCTGGAGGAGACTCTGGAGAGTCCCATGGACTGCAAGAAGATCAAACCTCTCCATTCTTAAGGAAATCAGCCCTGAGTGCTCACTGGAAGGACAGATTGTGAAGCTGAGGCTCCAATATTTTGGCCACCTCATGAGAAGACAAAAGACTCCCTGGAAAAGACCCTGATGTTGGGAAAGATGGAGGGCACAAGGAGAAGGGGACGACAGAGGACGAGATGGTTGGACAGTGTTCTCGAAGCTACTAACATGATTTTGACCAAACTGCGGGAGGCAGTGGAAGACAGGAGTGCCTGGCGTGCTCTGGTCCAGGGGGTCACGAAGAGTCGGACATGACTAAACGACTAAACGACTAAACAACAACAACAACAAACGTGCACATGCATGATCAAGTAATCTTTCTGGCAGCCCTTGAAGGCAGGCTAGCTGGTACTGTATCATTATCCCCATATTGCAGATGGGGGACTGAGGCTGAGACAAAGGCCACCTAATTGAGACTGTAGCAGAGATCATAGCAGCAGCAGTAAGTGACTGGATTGCAGTTATGGCCAGAACCTGGCACAAAGAAAGAAAATTGGGTTTTAATGGTCAAACAGCAGCACCCAAATGCCAATGATTTTTTTCTTCTTTTTTGTGGTAGTGGGGAGAGAGATCTTCCCAGGGGCCGGGGATTCAAACCAGTCTCCCCAGGATCCCTCTGACAAGATCTTTCTAAAAGCCATGAAGCAGTTGCCTTAGAGCTCTGGACGACCTGTTGGTTGAAGCTTTCCCCCCAATTTGCCTGCACAAAGCCTACGGGGAGGCTTTGTGATTTGTCCCAGGACCAGGTATATGACGATGGACATCCTGATTTGCTGGCTGGGTGTTTACATGCCTTCAGGTTAAAACATTGGTTCACCTCACCCTCTTAACCTCCCCAAACACTTCCCCAACTCCAAAAAAAACCCCGCAGTGCTTTGAAAACAAAGCACGTATTATGAAGTTTAAAACATAAATGCTTTTGATAAAGTGGTTTTTGAAATGAAATTCTATCCCGGGGTGGTCAACCACAGGCCTGGGGACTGAAGGTGGATATCCAAACCTCTCTGTTTGACCCTCAGGAAACTTACCAGAACAAACACCTACTTACCCAGCTTGGCACCCTCTCCATGGGCGTAACCAATGGTGCTGTCCCCCCTAGATCAAGTAAAACAATAGAAATACTTAACTGACCAATCACATCAGTTCTGCTCCCCCCTCCCAACAAAAGTCCTGGCTATGCTCATAGCCTACAGTAAAGGTAAAGGGACCCCTGACCATTAGGTCCAGTCGTGACTGACTCTGGGGTTGCGGAGCTCATCTCGCTTTATTGGCT